ACAAATCAGAAAGGCAAAGTATAATATTGAAATAACAGAGCCCTGTTCCCAGGCTGCAGTCAAGCTGTTGATCTTCGGCCAGGCTTGCTCAGCCTGTGCTTGTGGGGCCCTTATTACACCTGTACAGTACAGTGCTAGCTAGCACCCTGGAGCCTGATAGGGATCTTTCCGTGCTGTTGTAATAGTAATGCTGACAAAGCAGCCTGCAGCCCATTATCATGCACAGATCTTGCTTTTTCTTCTGGGTTTCATAGGGTTAGATATGTTTCCTTTTTGGACTGCTCTGCTCTTTTACAGCCCAACTTCTGTACAGGCCCAGTGTTGTACAGGGAGCCTGTAGCAGGCCCATGATGTGAATGGAGATCTCCACAATCCTAGTCCTGTGCTTGAACTGCACCTTGTCCCTTCATCACCACTCCAGGGTAGCAGAGGTGTCCATGGTCTTCAGCCTCTGCAGGCTGCCCTCCTGTCCCTGCTCTTATCCCCAGTGCTTCCCCCTACTCTGCTACTGGAGGAATTGTCACCAGCAGGCCAGTCCTAGGACCTTGTTGACTCCCAGCATTCCCACTCTGAAAGACTGGGTGCTTTATGAATAAAGCTTGTGACAGCCCAGGGATGGGCTGCTGCAAAGTGTCCAAGAGTGACACTGGCACCCAACCTGTGACCACTTTTTGGGAGATTCCCACAGCCCAAGCTGCACGAATTGCTTTGCAGTGCCCCTTATTAAAGGTGATTTGTTGTAACGGGAGGCTTTAAGCTCCTGAGCCCCTTCCCAGTGGGGCCTGAAGCTGCCCTGGGTTCCACAGGCCCTGGGAGGTGGAGCCGAGGTCATAGAGGAGCCTAAGCAGGTGATTTGTGCCATCTTAGAATTATACAATCACAGAAAATTAGGGTTGGAAGGGACCTCAGGAGGTCACCTAGCCCAACCCCCTTCTCAAACAGGACCATCCTATGCTAGATCGTTCCAGCCAGAGCTTTGTCTACCCAGATCTTAAAAGCCTCTAGGGATGTAGTTTCCACCACCTCTCTGGGTAACCTGTTCCAATGCTTTACTACCCTCCTAGTGAGAAATTGTTTCCTAATATCAACCTAAACTTTCCTTGCTGCAACTTGTTTTGTCATCTGCCACCATGGAAAACAGTTCAGCTCCATCCTCTTTATAACCACCCTTCAGGTAGTTGAAGGCTGCTATTAAATCTCCCCTTGGTCTTCTCTTCTCCAGACTAATTAAGCCCCATTCCCTCAGCCTCTCTTCATAAGCCATGTACCCAAGCCCCCTAACCATTTTCCTTGCCCATCTTGTCCCCCTCTTGTATAGACTACCTTTGGACTCGCACATGCTCGTCAGCATACTCTTCCCATGCCCTTTCTGTTAAGCCTCTGAGCATGGCTGACTGAGGCTAATTGATGTGCAAGAGCTGTGATGGGAGGCCAGAGCCTAAGTTAGCTGGGGTGGAGGATAGGGACAGCAGATGCCTTTGATTTCCCATTGAATTTGGCCCTGAGACTCCCACCGGCCTTGAAACATGAGGCTTGCAGAAGCTCCAGGTTTTGTCAGCAAAGCACACAGCTTAGCCCAAGCCTCAAACCTCACTCTGCTCCTTCCAGATTTAAGCGCATGCATGGCTGTCTAATCTGCATTGGTCTCCACCATCCCCCCTGCCAATGCAGGAGAGTGCCTGGCGCTGTGCTGAGCAGCTGCATCCCCATCCTAAATCCCCACCCTCCAAATGCGTCTCGCAGCAGGGGAGATTTCCCAGCAGCCAGCTCCAGCGTGCTGCCCGGTACACTGCAGCTTGAGGGGGGGGCCTTCTCCACAGAAGCGTAACTCCCGAACGCTGAGGCAGCTGCAAGTCAGCAGATGCAGTTTCAATCTGCTGGCAAAGCGGCGCTGAGGTTCCTGCCACGTGGAACAGTTTCCTGACCCCGTAGGCTGCAGAGAGCTGGAGCAGATGGTTCCCATTGCCAAGTGCGGAGGCTGCTCCTCTGACAAATGCATGTGTCAAAGGGATTGAGAGTTCACAGGTCTCTTGGCCTTCTCTGCGCTCAGGCACTCACGGACCCGTTTTCCACAGGAGACGGAGCACAAGGCAGTCTCTTGTTCTTCACTGGAAATGCTCTTAAGAGTTTCCTGAAGAGGAGTGGAGGGGAGAGGTGGCCCAGAGCTGAGAGTGCTAGAACAGCATGGGGGGAGCTCAGCTGCCATTTCACATTGTGTGAACCTGGGAAGTCACTTAGGTACTTATAACCCGTTGCTTTTATGAGACCATGGTAGTGCAGGGACAGATGGAAACCTGGGGCAAGCGGACCTGTACATATAGATAGTCCCTGGGAATCCAAGTGTTTGCTATACAGGGCTCTCTCCTTCCCTGTGAAGTCAATAAGTGCCTCATAGTTCAGGCAGGCACGTATGCTTCTGGGGAAGGAGGGCACAAGGTTGTTTTTAAGGGCAGATCTTAGCATTGTGTGCATGATTAGTGCACACCTTGGTATCATCACACCTGAACCTTGGCTGTTTGTTACTGAGCGCACAGACAGAAGTGACAATTTTCGCCTGATCTGGCCCCAGGAAGTGGTCTACAGCTGTGACCAAGCAGAAGTGCATGGCTGCAGATGGCTTTAAAAGGGCCTGATCCCGTGAAAATCTGAACCCTTCTTGCACGAGGGTTGAGATGAATAAGCTCCAGATCAGTGTGTTGCATCTGTGGAGCTCCCAGCCTGCTCCTATTTTCAAAATGGGAGAGGGGGAAAGGGAGCAAAGGGAATTTTGTCTGGGTTTTTTCAGCTGGCACGGGAGGGTGGAGCAGGTGGATTGGAGCTCCTCTGAAGTGGGGGGCTCCACTTGCCTAATCTGCAGCATTTGGGCTAGCAAGTGTGCCTGAGTACAGAGCTTGTGCCCCAGTCTGAAGATGCCGCATCCTTTGTTCCTGTCCCTGCAGCTGCACCGGAGCAAGTGGCTATGGGATGCTGCAGGAACTCGGGCAGCTCTGCAAGGTTTGGAAGGGATTGTGCAACTGTGCTGTGGCTCTACCTTTGCTTGTCTCCACACTTCGCCTATGCAGACCCCAGGAAGCATAGTTTGGTGCCGATGCTCCCCACCCCTTCCCTTTCCACATTCCACTGGTACATGGCACCAAGCTATTTTGTGTTGCAGGCAAGGGGGCTGCAGTGTGCTTCTCTTTGCACGCAGGCTCCGTGGCTAAGAGTGCTTTAACATCGGAGTTTTGGGGGCATACAAAGGCCAAGCAAAGTAATGGGAAGGCTCTGAGTTACTCTTTCCTCCTCCCTTTTTCTTTGTTGGCTTTGAGAGTTCACGGTATGCTCCCTTGGCTTGGCAACCTGGGACTGGAGGGGGCCATCTGGACTGGAGTCAGAGGCATTCACTTTGGATGCCCATTTCCTTAATAGAGCTAATGGAAGGGGTGGGCAAAATGAGTCACATCTGGCTGTTCTAACATGAACCAGGCCAAATGACAGGGGCTGATCCTGGGCAACTAAGGGCTGGGACCATCGGTCAGGTTAGAGGAGACAGGAGTTGGCAACAGTGGCTCCATTGCTGTGCTTTTCTTCTGAGTGCCTGCAGCTCAAGTCTAATGACCCCGGGTCCTGGAGACTGTGATGCTTATGGTTTTCCCATATAGCTTTCTGGTTTTAGAGATTTTTT